GAATGTGAGGGCAGATAAGAACCATTCGGCCCATCTAGTCTGCCCAAATAACAATCAGCATAATTCTCATGTTATCAACTATTAAGAGTACAATTCAAATTTTATTGAACAAACCTCCTAATGATAGCAGTATTTTTTTAAAACATAAAAAACTTACAATGCACAAATTATTATGCACAGTAAGTTTCAAAACACTTTATAGGTTGCAAAGAACTGAAAATTGTCATTTGTTGTGTTTGCAGCATATTTACTGAAATCAAAAGCGATTTCCCTTTAAAATAGGCCTCATTTGGAAGCCATATATTTTAACTGCTATTTTGGCCCCTACTACAAGAAAAGCAGACTAGCAAAGGAATATGGAGTTCAGAAACAAAGCTGTTTTTGTCTATGCAAGCTTCATAAATGCTATGACATAGTTTATGATTTCCATAGAACCGAGGGCTTGGTTCAATCCAAGATTAACAGGTCAAACAAACCCTGGTTTGATTTTCATAACTACCTTAAAATATGAACATTTTAGCTCTCTATTGAGTTTCCATATTTGAAAGTGTGCCTTGACCATTAATATGTCTGCATTGGAGATTTAGAAGTCTAGTATTCCCAAGAAATCTATATGCAATTGAGGCTTATGTTACAGTGCTAAATACAACAACTTTAAGACAGGTAAACAGCAGAGATAAATGGTAGAATAACCTGCTGTAGTTAAATAATGCAACCAAATAGAACTACCATAACCACTGTATCACTGAAGGAATAACCACCACCTTAGGTTAAGGTAAAATAAAAGTAACGAGTGCCTACTGAATTAAAGCAATAGTATAAACAGGACTCAGTGGAAACGGAAATAAAGGATAAGAGTAATAAAATGATAAAAGGATAAATATAAACTCAGTTACACTTTGTAGTAAGAATGTATCAGCTAATCAGATCATTACCTCCCATAAATAGGGTAGAAAGAATCCAAAATTGCTGGAGTGATAATCTAGTAGGGGTTCTTTGACTTAAAAAGTGGATGAACAGATATGAACTGGATACAATAAATCCAAATATGATAACGATTTCCCAAAAAGGGTTAAAATCTTGTTGATGTGTCAATTGTATAGTGTAGCAGACAGAGTGCGTACTATAATAGATTTTATTCGCACAAAAACTGTCAAAACAACACACATAAATATAAAAGACTAATGCATCAAAATGTCCCAGGTAAAAATGAAAATCTCGGTGATAAGATTCTAAACAATGGTAACATTACTTAGTATTAGTAAATTTTGCCCCTACTCGCTATATCGCTAGTAGGGGGCATGTCTATGAAACAGTGAGCAGCCTGTTTAATAAATTAAAAAAGTCCCCTAATGTCCCCCCTCCTGAGCCCCCACCCGTGCTGCGTAAGTGGGGGCTATTAAACTGAAGGGGGGACCTAGAGCCCCCCCTGGCTCCCACCCCTGAGCGGCGTGTGGGGCCCTAAATTAGATTGTGGGGGGGGGCTATTGTCCTCCCCCCCAGCTCCCACCCCCGGGCCTATTGTGCTAGTCATTTTACACAGTGTGGGAAAGTTCTTTGGAATTTTCCCACGCTGTGTAAAATGACACAGAACACAGAACTTGAAATCCAACCAATCACAGTGCTCTGTGTCATTTTACACAGCGTGGGAAATTTCTAAAGAACTTTCCCACCGAACAGGAATGGCGGCCGGGGGGGAGCACAATAGGTCCCCCCCCCCCTCCCATACTCATTTAGGGCCCCCACCTGCCGCTCAGGGGTGGGGGCCGGGGGGGAGGAAAAAAGCCCCCCCTTTTTATTACAACATTGAGCAGCCACAGGCTGCTCACTGTTTAGTAGACATGCCCCTACTCATGACATAGCAAGTAGGGGCATTCAATCTCCCTTATGCTATTATGGGGGTTATATTGACCCTCATAGAGTGAGAGAGGACATGGGGGTCTTAGGAAGTGGCGGGGAGCACTGCTCCCTGCCGCTTCTATTTTTACATTTTACAAGGATGGAGCTGCGTGCCAGTAGCTCCCTCCTTGTAATATACTGAACGAACAAACGAACACAGATATTCGTGTTTGTTTGTTCATCTGACATTTCTATTCATTCATTTGTCTTTCTGACGAATGAATGGATGAAATTCCCATTCACATGCCCAAGTGTTTAAATGGACATGTGCGGGAATTTCACAGCACTATCTAGTGTGATCAGATGACGTTTCCCACAGGGCCTTTATCTAGCCACACAAAGATTGCGGCGCCCAGGACATAGGTCGGGGCAGAAAATAAAGTTTAAAAACTAGGTAATATGGGGTGCTTAGGAGCATTTGGGGGTGACTAAATTGGCTGCTAAACAATAAGATAGTGACGCAACGTCTGATAAGCAGTGCCACTTCCTGGATACGGATGGCAAAGTAACACTCTGCAGCAACAGGGAAGTACGCCCGATAGTGACGTCGCGCCCAGAGTAGTGTGCTGCGTGCAACTTCACATGATGGGGCGAGATTACCAATTTGGCACAGCCGCTGAGACACACACCCCATCGAATATAACAAAGGCATTGGCCGAATTACGAACACAATCCCCAATCAGAAGAGATACAGGGGATTTTAAACCATGTAAAACAGCAGGAAAACTACCGATTGAAAAAGCTGTTATTGCACAGCGAAACGCGTCTCAGGATAGGCGGACCCACAGGACTCTTAATTGTGTTATTTCCAATTTGTTTTTATTTATCATTTTTTATAATTAAATATAATTGTATACACGCCAAGCTGTCCAGTAGATTGCTGTTCAAAGAAGGGTAGTAACTCCCTTAAAGGGTCACTATAGGGTTAGGAACACAAACATGTATTCCTGACCCTATAGTGTTAAAACCACAATCTAGCCCCCCTGGGCCCCTCATGCCTCCATAAATATAGCAAAATCTTACTGTATTCAAGCCTGAAGCTGTAACTCTGCATGTTGTTTGCCTCAAAAAAACAAGCAGGCTGCTGACATCATCAGAAGTGGTAGCCTGATCCAAGTGCTTCCCCATAGGATTGGCTGAGACTGACAAAGAGGCAGATCAGGGGCAGAGCTAGCATGATTCAAACAGCCCTGGCCAATCAGCATCTCCTCATAGAGATGAACTGAATCAATGAATCTCTATGAGGAAAGTTCAGTGTGTGCATGCAGAGGTAGGAGATACTGAATATTTTGATGCATTTTAGGCAGCCATGACCCAGGAAGGATCTCTAACAGCTATCTGAGGAGTGGCCAGTGAAGTTATCACTAGACTGTAATGTAAACACTGCATTTTCTCTGAAAAGACAGTGTTTACAGCAAAAAAGCCTGAAGGCAATGATTCTACTCACCAGAACAAATTCAATAAGCTGTAGTTGTTCTGGTGACTATAGTGTCCCTTTAAAGGCACATCTGCACATATACCAGGAGCCACATCAGAGCTCCTAAAAAGGTGAGAAGCCAATTGTTGTACTGCACTTTTCACTTTATAATCTTGCATGGTCGCACTAGGAGCTACGTTGCTTCCTTGTCAACCCCCTCCTTCTCTCTTTCATTTATGAGGAGATTTAAAGAAAGAAGAGGTCTAGTGTCACCGGAGTCGCAAGTGGCTCTTTTCCATGTGAGTGTGCCCATTGTAATTTTGCACCTTTTATATACTCCATTCCATATTACACTATATATGTTTTATCTTTACAGCATGGGTGTCCAACCCACGGCCCGGGACTGCTAGCACTGCGGCCCTGCTGCCGGGCAGACAGGGAGGCAGGGGGCCCATTCAGTGGCGTAGCGGTAAGAAGGAGGAGGATTACAGAGGTGCGCAGTAACGTGCTGTCCACATGCTCCGCCTTCACGGTGTTTGGAGCAGAAGCGCTCTGACACTCTGTGTCGACGGTGCCGCGGCGGGATAGTCTGGAGTCCGGATCAGCAGGGAACAGCAAGCAGGTGGATGAGCAGGGTAAGTGCTTGTTAATATTGTGTTTTGTTTAAAAGTGTTTTTTTTTTCCTTTTTATGTGCTTGAGAGGGAGCAGGGTATTTTGTGTATGGGTTTGTAGGGGGCAGGGTTTTTTGTAGAGGGGGGACAGGGTCTTTGTAGAGGAGGGGGCAGGGGTCTTTGTAGAAGGTGGAGGCAGGAGTTTTTGTGGATGGGGTGCATGGGATTTGTAGGGGAAAAGGCTTGTAGAGGGGGTGGGCAGGGTTTATTGTAGAGGGGGGCAGGGATTTTTTGTAGAGGGGGACAGGGCAAGGGATTTTGTAGAGGGGGGAGTGGGCAGGTGATTTGTAGAGGGGGACTGGGCAGGGGATCTTATAGAGAGAGGGGGACACGGTTTTTGTGGAGGGGGCAGGGGATTTGTAGGGCAGTGGTTTTGTAGAAGGTGGGGGGGGTTGTAGAAGTGGGACTGGGCAGGGGATTTTGTAGAGGGGGGAACTGGGCAGGGGATTCCCCCTTCCCAGTTAGTAGAGGGGTGGGGGCAGGGTTTTTGTGGAGGGGGACAAGGATTTGTAGAAGGGGGGACTGGGCAGGGGCTTTTTAGAAGGTGGGGCAGTTGTAGAAGTGGGATTGGGAAAGGATGTTGTAGAGGGGGCTGTTTTTTTGTAAAAGGGTGGGGTTTAGAAGGGTGTTTTTTTTTTTATTGCCTACTACTGTTGTGGAAGGCATTTAAAAAAAAATTAATTAGAAAACATTAAATAAAATTTACAAAAATTAGTGGGTGTTTTCCTCACATTTGAATTGGGGAAGGGGGGTGCCAAAAGCTCTAGGTTACGCCTTACATTCTGTGCTCCTCCTGCACAGCTTCCTTGGCGCCCGGCAGTGAGGTGTCCGCTGGGATATGACATCATCCCGGCATCACTGCTGTTTGCGCGAGAGACCTATGCATGAAGAGCACAGAGGTCCCAGGCTCCAGCAACCACTGGCCACCAGGAAGAGGATCCACTCCAGCACTCTCAGAGCAAGTTAGGGAGGCTGAGTAGACCTCTTTAGTATTAAATGTGTGTGAATGTGATTTGTGTGTATGTTTTGTCAGTGATCGGCTGTGTGTGCAGGTTGGGCAGGGATCTGTGGACATGTCTGTGATTGTGTACGTTTGTGATTTTGTGTGTATGTCTGTGATTATGTCTTTGTATGTATGTGAATGTATATGTATGTGAGTTTGTGTGTGTATGTATGTATGTGATTGTGTATATAGGTATAGGATTGTGCGTAGGTCTGATTGTGGGTGTATGTATGAATGTGATTGTGTGCATAGGTCTGTGATTGTATGTGGGTATATCTGTGTATGTGTGTGTGGGGGGTCAGTGATTGTGTATGTATGTGATTGTGTGTGGGTCTGTGTGTACATTTGGGATTGTGTGTATGTATGTGACTGTGTGCATAGGTATGTGATTGTATGTGTGTATTTGTGATTGTGTGTATAGGTCTGTGATTGTATTTGTGTGTCAGTGATTATGTGTGCATACATATACACATGTGTATGTGTTTAGTAGATAGCTCCCTAATTTGATATCCTTAAATATGCCAATCCCACACAAGGCTAACAAATAAGAGAGGTATCTACTAAACATTTGAAATATCAAAATTAAGAAAAGGGCTTTTAAAGATACATTACTTATATCTATATTATATATTTGATGTGTGGCCCAAGACAATTCCTCTGCGCTCAATGCGGCCCAGAGAAGTCAAAAGGTTGGACACCCATGCTTTACAGCTTAATATTGCAGGTTTAACCCTTAGGGGTAAGTGTCTTTAATTGTGAAGTGCTCCACAATCACAAGTAGTGGTGGAATATATATTTTATCACAGTTTATAATAATTTTAAAATAAAATCATGTAAGGGTTGAGAGTTCCTTCACTTATTTGGTAGCTGCTATTGTATAATTACACTTGATAATAGCACTTTGTTTTTTCTATAGCCATTCTATCCTGGCTCCCTCAAGCCAGAGCTGAAAAAGATCAAGAGTACAACCTTTAATAAGACCAATACTAAAAATTCATAAGACCCTTTAAATACTCATCCATTGTCTCGCCTAATACAGATGACCATGCATTGACAAAGGTCGTCTTCACAGAACAGGTTCCACCAACAATTTCCATTAGCTAGACATTTTATGACTTCACAAACTGTAGTTAAGTCCTTTCCTACATTAACACAACTCCCTTATTCTCTTGCGTAATAATGCATCGCCAGAATGCACACTGCACCCCCCCTCCAAAAAAAACCAAACACTAGTAAGAATGCTCACCCACTACAAATCCACTTTCATTGATGCAATCTCACCGACTAGATACAAGTCCATGAATTGCCAGCTTCTACTGTCTAATGCACATATGCTATTACCGGCATGCAGAGGTTAAAGGACCACTATAGTGCCAGGAAAACATACTCGTTTTCCTGGCACTATAGTGCCCTGAGGGTGCCCCCACCCTCAGGGTCCCCCTCCCGCCCGGCTCTGGAAAGGGGTAAAACTTACCTTTTTCCACCGCTGGGCAGAGAGCTCTCCTCCTCTTCTCCTCCCCGTCGGCTGTATGCGCACGCGCGGCAAGAGCTGTGCGCGCATTCAGCCGGTCACATAGGAAAGCATTCATAATGCTTTCCTATGGACGCTGGCGTGCTCTCACTGTGAAAATCACAGTGAGAAGCACGCAAGCGCCTCTAGTGGCTGTCAATGAGACAGCCACTAGAGCAAATAGGGGAAGGCTTAACCCATTGATAAACATAGCAGTTTCTCTGAAACTGCTATGTTTATGAAGAAATGGGTTAACCCTAGCTGGACCTGGCACCCAGACCACTTCATTAAGCTGAAGTGGTCTGGGTGCCTAGAGTGGTCCTTTAATAGGAGCCCAATATCCCTTGAGAGTTCATTGATGAGGAATGGGAGCACTTGCTTACACTGCTGCACAAAAGCTCAATTTTTACAAGACAAGTAGGTAATCCCTGCATCTTTACATGCGACTCCTGGATCTTCTCTCAAACTGCCAACAAGCACCCTGTACATTTCTCCAACTACCAAAAGCTATGGATATGAGTAAGTGCAGATTCCTTATATATTCACATTAAATATTGGTAGATTCGGGAGCTAATAAATCCCTTCAATTATGACAGAAAAAAAAAAAGTAATATATAAAGAAAAATAATACAGAAATAATATAATTTGCAGGAAAATCAGCTCACTGTTTAGGTTAATGGTAGTTTCAGATGGGTTTTAATAGCCACGTGGATTTAGAGGGTAAGTGCACAGGCATATTGTCTTTGATGATGTTTATTTATCAGGAAACGGATATATATATTCAACATGGTTGAAGTATATGGTAAAAAAGTATGTGGTACTGGCAGTGAGGGGAAATACACGGGTGACGCACTCATTGTTTTTGTCTGTGAAAACACTTCTGAGAAAATTAACAGGTCGATTACTTACTGGAATTTTTTTTATTATGACAATGAGCCCAGTGAATCACTGACTGGCTAGATGCATTTATGGTTATTTATAGTCATATTTTTATTTTATTAATGGGACAGGCCATAACCCTACAGCACTTCAGTTTGCTGCATATCCTTCCTGAGCACATTCATAAAAGTATCGCTTTTAACAGAAGTTAGCACTTTTATGACTATAGGAACATGCGCTTGCAGTCAAACTGATAGTCAGGAGGGGTTCCTGGTTCACTTTGCATGATTGGTTCCATAAGGAAGAATTACTCTAATGCTTCACTATGAGAAGGATAATATTGGTCCATCATGGCATTTGACTCACATATGCACAGCAGTTCTAGACATTTTGACTGAGACAGGAAAACACCTCACTTACTGTATATAAGAGAGAATTTTAGTTTGTTAGTATGGCTTTTTGACTATATATATATATATAAAATATAACGGGTGAATTGTGTATTATGGAAAAATAATGCCATCCAGGGATTCTTGAAGACAGCATAATAAACAACACCACTTGAGTTGTTTACAAATGTTTCTGGAAACCCAAAATAGAATTCCTTTCACATAATACACATTTCACTGCTATGTATTTTTAAGAGGAGACATACAAATCACAAAGTTTAGTCTATATGCTCTTTTTCAATTTTCAATGAAAAAGTATTGCCATAAATGTTTGTGATTTGGATGACTTCACAATACATTCTTTGTGATTATTTTTGCGCCAACTTTGTGCCTTGTATGATTCTTTTATATTTAACTATAGTGAGCAAATAATGCTGGGACGTTTTGGCAGCAGAGTAGTGAGGCACTGGGTACTGTAGTTACCTGCTCCCCCTTTTTGCCATTGCGTATGCAATGTAGGGAGTAATGTGTACTGTATTGTAATGTATTAGGTTAAGGTGATAATTTTACTGTAAGGGCAGCAAATAAGTTGAAGTCCTGGGTGGCAGCTATGTCTACTATTATCATTATAATGGCAGCAGATACTGCTCCAAAATGTAAATTCACTAATCACACAGGACATGTAAGTCACCGTTCTAGAGTCTCCAGACTGCACTGAGCTCATCCATGACGTATGGCATTCTAAAACAGTGTTTGTCTGTTTAAATAATTGCAGGCTATGTCATTCTCTCTCTACCTTTCTATACATATATAAATATATAGTCAATGCATAATTAGTTAACTAAAATTACCATTCGGGCAGAAAAACAGACAATAGGTTAATTTGTTGCTTTTACAATATAGTTGTAACATAGACCAAAATAAAAGTGGACAGCTGTTCAGTTGAAGTGAATAAAGGCACAAGTAATTAATGTATTCATGAAGACATTAAGCACAACATCTTTGTCATTAGAGATATTCATTCTCGGATAAAAGGTATCCATTTAGGTATATTAGAACCTTCTAATTTTCCAAACTTAATGTCTTCATTGCTAGGAAATGATAAGTGCAAAAACGTTTTATATTATGGTTGGTTGACTGACTTGTTAGTAATTTATCTAGGGACTCTATTGAAAAGAAGAAAGAAGCATGATACTGGCTTTAAGTGCAGTTATACAAAGGAAACTGGTAAGATGTGTAACAGATTCAAGAAAGCAAACTGTGCATGTCCCAAGAACCTCTTCATGTATATAGATACATTAAATCAACATTGGATGACTGGTTTGCGCATTTTATACAAAAACATTTATTGGTTTGGTGAATGTTTAAACAGAACATATGCCATCATTGTTATTTTAAAAGAATATTTTAGTACTCAAGATGTTGTGAACTACATTTCCCCTGATGCTTTGCCAGCATAAGGCTGTGAGAGCATTATGGGAAATGTCGATCACAACATCTGGAGTGACGAAGGTTGCCTATCCCTATTTTACGAACTAAATGAAATTTTAAAAATGAGAAATGTTCATATGATGCAGTAAAGTGACAGCAGTCTGCGAGCCATTTGTATATTTCCACTGCTTTGATAAATTAGCGATAAATTAAATGCAATGTCTCTCCGAAGGTCCACTTGATCCTCTTCAATTCCCTATGAAATAAAGAGAAATAGAGTACATATACTTAATTTATATTACATTGTAGTAATCACAAACAAAATAAGTTCACTTTATGACTTTAAGAGACAAATAATATGAACAGTCTGTTGCTGTATTTAAGAGCCAGGAGAATTTTTCCTCCAGAAACCAATATATTTCAACATATATACTTTAATAATTCGGTCATTCAGTGAGCACACTCAAATAACATGTAATGTGTAGGTTATCAGAGAATAGTCCTGGGAGAAACACCATTGTGAATAATGTGCCTAAGGGATAGTTCTAAAACCAAAGTACATGAAGACTTTCTAGGAGGCATTATTCAAAGCTCCAAATTTTGTATTCAAATGAGCAAGAAAATATTAGGTTAAACATACAGAAAGTGAAATAAAAATTGACAAGTAAAAACAAAACAAAAGCAACAAATATATACATATACCTCCAGTTGAAGTGGTGGGAGCTCAAGAGCTTTCTGGTAATAGTGAATTGACAAATGAGTTAAGCCCATTTGGTGCAACGCACGACCAAGGTTGTAGAAGGTTTCCTGGCAAGGACCACGAAAGTCTAAGTATTTGTTAAGGAATGAAAATCCCTAAAATGTAAAAGAGTTGTACATCAGCTAATGTAAATATGCATTTGACGTGTATATTAGAAAATATTAAACATAATTATCAAAGAGATAGCAAAACCTTCACTTTCCATTGTAAGTTAGTACACTTCGCATATATAGTACTGAGCTAAGCTTACATAATCAGTTCCTAAAGAGTGAGAACCATATTGATTGATAGTACATATTGCAATAAATAAGACAAACATGACAATAGAGGATTAATATCCACATAAGCATGTCACAGACGTACACCTATTTTTCTAGTATAGAACACTACTCGTTTTAGCAAAAGAGGAGCTAAGGGTATATGAATGAGACCCTGGTGCACATCTCAAACAATTAGACAAGTCTACCCCTAACCCAGTGATTCCCAACCTTTTTTCACTTGTGTAACACTTGTTAGCCCATTTCCTTAAATTGTACCCCTCATTTTAGATAAATCTATGTAATTAATATAATTGCTGTTTTTCAATGCCTTAGGCTCCCTTGCTTCTCCTCTGCCGCTGGCATCCCCTGCTTCTCCTTTGCCCCAAGCACCCACTGCTTCTCCTCTGCACCAGGTGTGTGTATGTATGTGTGTGTGTGTGTGTATATATATATATATATATGTATGTGTATATATACACATACTGCCACACATGCAGATAAACAGATAAACACACTAACCCACATGTAGATACACAGATACAAACAATGCCACACATGCGGATGCACAGACACACAAATACAAAAACTGACATACATAAAGACACACACGAAATCACACCAAGAGACACAGATGCAAATACTGCCACAGAAACCAACACTGCCACACATGCAGATATAGACACACTTATATAAACACTGCCACACATGCAGATATAGACAGACAGATACAAACACTGCCACACATGCAGATACACAGACACACAGATACAAACACTGACAGATACAGACACACAGATACAAACATCACACAAATGTAAGATACAGATACAAACACTGACACAAATGTAAGATACACAGACACACTGAAACACATGCAGATACACATACACGCTGACACATGTAGACACACAGATACACGCTGACACATGTAGACACACAGATACACACTGACACAGATGCAGATGTACAGACACACACACAGATGCACACATTGACACACAAATATAGATACACACCGATACATACAAATAGAAACAATGACACACATACACACACTGACACATTCCGATATAAACAAATACACAGACATACTGATACACACTCTGACACATACAGATACAAACACTTCATACATACAGACACACAAAAACACTCATGCAGGTGAAATTTTCTTCTGCTGGCTGGGGCTGTTGGGAGTTAGGGGCTGTTTGAAAGTAGTCCTTGCGCTTCTCCTGGTTCAACACAGCCCCTGAGTGCACTTGTCTATTGGGTGGCTCTAATTTCATGGGCCACCAAATGGACTTTCACCGTGCAGTAGCACCGGTGGTAGAACCAACATTACTGTTTTTTCCACATACCCCTGGGGTACTGGATATGCTTACCACAAGTTGGGAACCCCTGCCTAACCCATGGGACAACAAGGGGGGAATGTGGACAAGTATGCTTCGTCAGACATTAAAGAAATTTCATAGTTCTATTTAGAAGAAATTCTATGTGTTTCAAGGTCTGCAAAACCGTAATGTCAGCACAATAGTGCTGTCAGCATGGAAATCGTCAAAGCCGTAGGGTGGAATAACTGCTCAATAGCCGAAAACATACACATTATAAATAAAGTTAAACCGTAATTAGCAAAATTAAGTATACACAGTTAACTCAGTCCTGTCCCCTTTTGGGGACTAAAGGCACCATTATAATGTTCCAGAGAAGGGAATTGTCAGGCCCAGGACCACAAGAAAGGTAGAAGCCTCTGATGGATTTGTAACATTGAACATCCCTAATTACTACAAGAGTAGACCAGCGATAAGCAAGGCCTGCTTCTTGAAGATATTTGGTAATGGGTTTCATGGATTTCTGCCATAACATGTGGAGTGGATCTGTTAAGATGGTCTAAGAATTAAAATTCGTAGGGTGCGTTCTCCTGCAGTTGCTCAAAATTGTACATTTGGCGTTGCAAGAGAACATCTCAAGGTGCAGTACTGGGTCTCTAGGTGATTTTAGCAATCCAATAACATCAAACGTGAACTGCTTAGCCTGATACCAGGTGTTATATAAAATAGGACATCTCCTCTGGGACAAGAGAGTACACAACTTTTCTTAATTTAATTTTTTTTCATCTACCTCTATCATCAGTTGGTCAATACGAAGTGAGAGGTTGGTTGGATGGAGATGCTTGTATTTGTTCAACTGTTTTACCCAACACCGCAAGTCCCTGCATAATGTCGAGAACATCTTGTGTATTCGAGTTGTCATGGCTTGCACCTCAGCTTTCACCAAGGCCATGTCAGTTGCAAAAAGCTTCTGTATGTCTACAAAGTGAGTAGTATCGGTAATTGAAAGTGAATTTTCAATTTAAAGTCAAAGCAACCAAACTGGAAGTATAGCGGTCTTGCAGGATTTTTCCGCTACAACTATTTTGGCCTTAAATTTAAAATTCACTTTGAATCCTAGTAATTCTCTTTTTTGTGACTAACCCTGTGTGTATCTTAGGTATGGGTGAATTTCTTTGTGCAAGTATTTGATGTTACCAGAAATTCAAGACAACCAATAAACACCATATCAGCTAAATATTAGTGCTGGTATACACTGGTATGCAAAAAATAATTTATGCCCCTATGATGATATCTAGTGGGGAAAAAAAAGTAAGTACGACTGTGGCATATA